TTCCTACCAAGAAACCCACAGACATATGCATGCTGCATATGACTGAGGCTTCTTGGTACTGTATGGGGAAGCATCATTTATGCAACACACAGCTGATGCCTCTATTCAGAAATGAAATAATCCTCAATATTTCTCAGCCTCAATACATGAGATCTGTATAACTCAAGACTTTGAATATGATGAATGTGAAGTTTAAAATTCATTCATGTCATGTGACACAGTCAACCTTAAAAAAGCATACTCAACCAATGGTGCTGGCATAACTGGATATGAACATATAGAAGAATGAAAGTAGGTCCATATCTATCACCTTGCACAAAACTCAAGTCCAAATGGATCAAAGACCTCAACACAAACCAGTCACACTAAACGTCATAGAAGAGAAAGTGGAGAGTACACTTGAATGCATTGGCACGGGAAACAGCTTTCTAAATATGACCCCTGTAGCAGACACTGAGAGCAACAATTAATAAATGGGACCTCCTGAAACTGAAAAGTTTCTGTAAAGCAAAGAACATTGTCAACAAGACAAAACAACAGCTTATATAAAGGGAAAAGATCTTCAACAACCCCACATTGGACAGAGAACTAATCTCCAAAATATACAAATAATTCAAAAAACTTATCATCAAAAGAACAAATAATGCAATAAGAAAAATAGGTACAGATCTAAACAGAGACTGGCAACAAATAAATCTGGAATGACTAAAGACACTTAAGGAAATGTGCAACATCCTTAACCATCAGAGAAATGTAAATCAAAACAACTCTGAGATTCCATCTTACACCTGTAAGAATGGCCAAGATCAAAAACACTGAAGACAACTTATACTGAAGAGGATGTGGGGTAAAGGGAACACTCCTTCATTGCTGGTCAGAGTATAAGCTAGTACAGTCGCTTTGGAAATCAGTGCGGCAATTTCTCAAATATTAGGAAACAACCTACCTCAAGACCTAGCAATACCACTTTTGGAGATATACCCAAAGGATGTTCAACCATACCACAAGGCCATGTGTCCAACTATGTTCATAGCATTATTTGTAATAGCCAGAACCTAAAAACTATCTAAGTGCCCCTTGACTAAAAAATAAAGAAGATGTGGTACATTTATACAATGGAGTATTGCATAGTGGGAAAAAAATGAGATCTTGAAATTTGCAGGTAAATAGATGGATCTAGAAAATATCATATTGAGGGAGGTAACCCAGACCCAGAAAGAATAATATAATATGTACTCACTTATAAGCGTCTTTTATATTCTCGATCCCAGAGAACCTAGACAGCAAAGAGATTCCTAGGAGAGCTATACATGGATCTAATCTACATGAGAAATAGAAAAAGACAAGATCTCCTCAGTAAATTGGGAGCATGGGGATCATGGGAGAGGGTTGAAAGAGGAGGGGGAGGAATGCAGGGGAGCAGAAAAAAATATATATAGCTTAATAAAACCAATTTAAAAAGGAATAGAATTTATCCAGGTTGTATAACCTGGTAGAACCAGCCCTTGGAATCTACATCTTGAGATCAGAAAAAAAAAAAAAAAGAGAAGGCAGGGGCCTGCTTCATGGGAAGAACCCGACAAGCTGCAGCTCACCTGAAGGGTGGCAGGAGTGATTAGGGCTAGTGAAGAGCATGGATTCCCAAAAGCTGTGAGTGGTTGCTGAGCCAATGGACAGCGACAAAACAGGAGCCTTCAGCCAGACACCACATGGTGAAGAATTTTGCCACCCAAATGAATTTAGAAGCAATTTCCAGAGAACAACCGGAAGAGAACTCGGCAGAACCAATACCTTGACCTCATCTTTGTATTACTCTAAGCAAAATGCCACACCACTCCAGACTTCTGAACTACTGATCTGCTGATATGAACTGATAAGCTGGTGCTATTTCAAGCCATTAAACAGCAGACAGTCGGTTGCAAGTCAATGAGTTAGTTGGCTATGTAACAGCAGAAAACTAATACAACAATTCAATGCCCTCATATGTAGAATGTGAGTTTCAACTTTCTGTGCCCAATGGGGAAAAGGTTAATGTGATGAAGTATGAAATTTCATTTCAACACCAAACACAAAATAAATACTCATTTTTACTGTTTCATTTTGCTAGTTCAGTGATATCATTAATTAATACGCATGTAATTCAACCAACCTTAATCAGCTTTGACTTATGCAAACAACGATGAAGGAAGAAATTCTGCATTGCACAGATACACCAATAAATATATATTACAAAATAACTTAAATGCTTCATCTGAAAAGTGAGCCAAACTACAAGAGATGGAAATTTCTGGTTCTTGAGAAGAAAGGGGATGATCATGTAATTATATATAATAGAAATACTATTTTGTGATGCAGATTTCACACTGCAGCCAATCGATAGTATAAATTCTAGCACAAATGTCTCCACTATATAAACCATCTAGAAATTTATTCAATAATAAAGTGCTGGAATACATTGAAAAACTTATGATCTAATGTTAAGCTTACAGTGTCATGAGTCAATTATAGCTCCATAGAATACCCTGGTGTCCTAGCATATAGCTATGCTCAAAGACAAATGTCTCTAAAGAGAACATTTGGGTAAATAAGAACAAAGCATGAACTTGTAACATCCTTAACTACCTTGCACGTTCTACCCAGGATTCATCCCTTCAAGCTTCGGTCATAAAATTAGGAAGAATTCACGACATCTCCATTCTGTGAGGACTGGGTCATCATTAACCAAGGATTTCTGGGAAACAGAGACACTTTTCTTTATTGGTGTAGCATTGGTAAGTTACTCCTATAAACAGCTCCTCATTCATTCCCTAAAAGTAACCCTAACTCATTCTCATTCTCTGTCTTTCTCTCTCTCATACACATTATATGAAAATATAGAATGATCACTGTTTTAGGAAGAGGCAAAAGCCTAGTGGAATCGAAGGTAAACTAGGAGTAATAAAATGAAGATGAAATTTTTATAATGAAATTCAATATTATAGATAATATATGCTAATAAAATGAATGATAAAAAGATAGAAATAAGGGTGCAAGAAAGAAAAGTAAATAAGAGCTTCAGACAATATTAGGACCAAGACAACAGAGGCCATGTGAGGACCCAGAGGCAAAGAGCCAGTTTCAAGTCAAGAAAGGAAGCCCCGGAAGAATTCAATTCTGCCAACTCCTGGGTCTCGAATTTATAGGCTCTGGAGCTGAAAGAATAAATTTCTGCTATTTAAAGCACTCTGTCTCTGGTGCTTTGTTGTGGAAGTCATGGTAACCTGATACAGACAGGAATACAAATTCAATTTCAGAGTACATTAGTTTCATTCAGGAGTATTTTCACCTAGAAATAAAGATAGCTTTCTTTACTAATAGCAGTGCTTATTGACCCTTACCAAGAAGTCTACTTTATAATACCAGAGACTCCTGCATCTCAATATCGAAGTGCCTAAATGATAAAACTCTCCCCATAGAATGTGTAAATCAGCTAAACTCAAGTCCTGTAGTATAAACTTACACCACCATATGGATTTGTAGATTACTACATGCCTTACTTATTTACATATGTACAAATATTATAACAAATACTAAAATGAATCCAAATAGTCACAAATTAAATGAGGGGTTTCTGTGATTATTGTACTGGAGCATGACAATGCTTCTCATGTACGTGTTATGTGATTGTACACTTATGATCAGTTTATTATGTGTTGCTCAACCACAATTAGTATCTATTGGGTCATTAAATATTGCCAATCCTTTTTAATCGGTTTGCATTGAAATTTAGATTCTAACACTTCAAAACACCAACAATGCAAATACTTAATTCAGAATGTTATTGAATAATTATATTAGGTCCCAGGCATCTAGTCTGTATTGTGATATTCCATAATAAATCTTGGTAACTGGAAATCTATAGCTTTATGCCCAACATTAATCAAGTCTGTGAGGCTCAGGGTCAGTATGTTTTGATAGAACTGAGTCTAAAAAGGCATCGGCTCTGCATTTGAGGCAAACCTCTGCTTGTATTTCATTACTACTGTGATGGACACAGAGCTGGGAAGGAAGTGGATGCCCAGGACAGTGATACTAAGTGTGGTAGTGTGAAAGAAAATGGGCCCTATCAGGCGTGGTACTATTAGAAGATGTGGTTTTATAGGAATAGGTGCAGCCTTGTTGGAGAAAATGTGTCACTGTGGGGGTGGACTTTGAGGGCTCATAAAGTCAAGTCTTGCCAGTGTGTCTCAGACTCCTTCTGCTGCTGTTATACTAAGGGAGCCTGTGTTTAATATGCTAATAAGCCCTGCAGGTAGCCCTGTGTCCCTTCTGCCCCATAAGGAAAATGACTCCTTTTAGTAATGGAGAGCGCACAAGTTCCAGAGGAATGGTGGCTTCATGCAACTACTATAACCCTTCTCCAGTCCAAGGTGGAGTTTTGGGAACTGGAGTCTTTTTTGGGCCTAACACTTAAACATATGTGCACAATTAACTACTGCTGTCATTGAATAATTACATTCTTGCAGTTCTCTTAGAAATCTGTATGTAAAGCTGGGCAGTCATGGCACATGTCTGTAATCTCAGGCCTAGAGAGGCAGAGGCGGGCAGTTCTCTGTGAATTTGAGGCCAGCCTGGTCTACAGAGTGAGTTCCAGGACAGCCAGGATTGTTCAACAGAGAAACTCTGTCTTGAAAAAAAAGGCATAAGAAAAAAAGAAAAGAAAGTAATATGTATGTAAGGATGTTGTACCCAGTCAGCATTAGGTCCTATTTAGGCACAGGTGGCAGGTGAGCAAGAGATTTTGTTCAATCTTGGTGTCAATTTACTCATAGAGTACCAATGATTCACCAAGTTTAGATACCTTTCTAAATAAGGCAAAAAGCACTTCTTATATTGTAGGATTTTTTTTAATTTTTTTTTATTGAGAATAGGAAAAAAAAAGTTTCCGCCTCCTCCCAGCCTCCCATTTCCCTCCCCCTCCCCCCACTCTTCTCCCCTCCCCCCACTCCTCTCCCCCTCCCTCTCCAATCCAAAGAGCAGTCATGGTTCCCTGCCCTGTGGAAAGTCCAAGGACCTCCCCCCTCCGTCCATGTCTAGGAAGGTGAACATCCAAACTGGCTAGGCTCCCACCAAGCCGGATCATGAAGTAGGATCAAAACCCCTTGCCATTGACCTTGGCTTCCCATCAGCCCTCATTGTTCGCCATGATCAGAGAGTCCGGTTTTATCCCATGCTTTTTCAGTCACAGTCCAGCTGGCCTTGGTGAGCTCCCAATAGATCAGCCCCACTGTCTCAGTGGGAGGGTGCACCCCCCGTGGTCCTGACATCCTTGCTCGTGTTCTCCCTCCATCTGCTCCTCATTGGGACCTTGGGAGCTCAGTCCAGTGCTCCAGTGTGGGTCTCTGTCTCTATCTCCATCCATCACCAGATGAAGGTTCTATGGTGATATGAAAGATATTCGTCAGTATTGCTATAGGATAGGGTCATTTCAGGTTCCCTATCCTCAGCTTCCCAAGGGACTAACTGGGGACATCACCTTGGGCTCCTGGGAGCCACTCTAGGTTCAAGTCTCTTGCCAACCCTAAGGTGGCTCCCTTAACTAAGATATGTGCTTCCCTGCTCCCCTATCCAACCTAACCTAGATGCCCTTCAATGGAAGAATGGATGAAGAAAGTGTGGAATATATACACATTAGAGTACTATGCTGCGGTAAAAAATAATGACTTCTCAAATTTTGCATGCAAATGGATGGAAATAGAAAACACTATCCTGAGCGAGGTAACACAGACCCAAAAAGATGAACATGGGATGTACTCATTCATAATTGGTTTCTAGCCACAAATAAAGGTCACGGAGTGTATACCTGGTGAACCTAAAGAAGCTAAACAAGGTGAACCCAAGAAAAAACATATAGTTATCCTCTTGGCTAAGGGAAGTAGACAAAATTGCCGGGGAGAAAATTGAGACCTTGCGGGTGGGGTGGGTTGGGGATAAGGGGGGACGGGGAGATTGGGATAAAGGAATATTGTAGGATTTTTTAAAGGAAAATATCCAAAGGAAATAAAACCATTTTATAGTCTTCACTGTACTGGATAATTTCAACACAATGGATTTAAGCACAGAGAGATAAAGATGGACATAGACACAATACATGTAGCCATAAGAACTGTGGCTAATTGACCCATTCGGTGCAGAGCAGGTTAACCATCCACTCCTGCAATTATGTTAATGGAAAGTTCTGGCTCCTGAGCGGCAAAGTCTCTCTGCCTTTTGTGGCTGCTTTCTTCATTATCTTGATTCATTACAACAACCGATGGTGGAACACCCCTGCGAGCCACAGCCTTAAATGCAGACTTGTTCAGCTCACAAATCAGCAGCTGCACAGTTCTTGTGGAAAACTATGTTTCCCTGGATTTACCTTGTACACACATCAACCGATTCAATTCTCTAGCTCTAAATTGCTCCCAACTCTCCTTTCTATGTCAAGGAAGCCCCTGAAATGGGAAAGAAAGAGCATATCTCTCTTAACCAATAAGCATTCCAGCTAAGGATTTGTTGTTGATAAAAAAAAATTACTACTAAAAAAAGTATTATGTTCTCCTTTCTCAATTTAGAAAAAAAATAATAACTTCAAGTTTAAGAAATATTAGCATATTACTAATAAGACATGCTGGATGGGCCATCCTCCTGTAGTAATTCTGATTAAAGAATACCAATTATCTTCAAGGTCATGGAGGTTACCTGTTGGCTTTATGTAGTCATTTACACACCAATTATTCTAGCTTTTCTTCTGTAGATCTTTTATTTATGCTTTTCTCTAATATATAATATATTAGGAGAAATATATATAATACAAATATATGTATTGTGTGTATATATGTGTGTGTGTGTTCTAAAGTTCCACAATAAATTCTCCTGACACCGTCAAATTAGTATTTTTCAAAGAATTAAGCAAGTCCCTGGATTTCCTTGTTCGACTACAAAGAAAAACTGTAACACTAATAATCTTTAACTATACTTTCAGTTAGTGCCAATCTGAATCCAGTTGAGCCCAACTGGATGAAATCTGGCATGAATTTCAATGGTGTACCTGCTGATTGTTTTTTAACATAGTAGCCTGACCATGCCACAAAAACCATTCGTTCGCCACTGAATATTTGTTCATAAATAGTCGAAGATAAGGAGGAAACTTTAAGAAACTAAAAGGCCAGATAGACAGAACTCCACCATTGTTCTAATATCTACTCAAAATGATATATACAATTGTGTGTTTTATTCCCTGTATTTTCTGCCTGGTATTCACTGCCTATTTCTGCTATTTAAAACACAATCAATTTCATTTTTAAGAACAATACAAATATCATTCTGAAGAAAGATTCTAACTTGGATCTCACTGTGCTACAATCAGAGTGTGCAGAGGACATTGAAGGTGGAATATGCACACCCCCTACACACACTTAGGCTCACGTGTTTGAATACTTGGTGGCCCCCTGGTGGCATTGGTTTGAGAGGTCAGGAACTTCGATTGTCTCAAAGTTAGAAGAAATTCACTGAATATATGCTGAGGAGGTGAGATATAGTTCTATTCATGCCTGACCTCAGTTTCTAATACACTAAGAAGTGGGCAGTGGTATCCATAAGTTCCCATCACTATGCCTGCTCTCACAAATTTCCTGAAATTGTTAGCCTAATAAATCTCTCCTTCATTAAATTGCTTCTGTCTGGTGTTTTCTCACAGCTATGAGACGATCTAGCCAATGAGAGCGAAGTCCTGAAAGTTCTAGAGAAAATCTGTTTCTTCCCTTTCTATTGTGTAGAGGAGAGTCACACCCTAGGCTCATGCCTCCTCATTTCATTGATATCCTTGACTCTGCATCATCCTTCTAGTCTGCAACTCAGACATTGACTTAAATTCTTCTGATGATGTAATTTTTCTAAAGATAGTGAAATTATCTTTGGGGCCACTCACATATGTTATAATATTTATTATAAGGAAGGTCATTCTCTTTATAGTCAGCTGGTTAGCTAGATTAATTCTATCTCTCATCTCCATTCATCTTGGGTGTTTTATTTTTTTAAATAAATGTATCCAATTCTAATTCTAGGGATTAATAGTGCAATATCTATACAGGGGTTAGAAATAGAAAAGCTAACTTATGCCCTAAATGTGATCAGCTCTTCTGAAAATAAAGTTTGACAGCCCAATTATAGGAAAAATCTGGAACAAAGACTTTTTCCCACAATGAACAGTCTATTTTTAAAGCCTGCACAACAAGGTCTAGCTCCTTTTATAGCCAAGTCATAATTTCATTTTCTCATTAATAATGGAAGCAAGACTATAATCAGTCTCAAAAGGGGCACTGAAGAACAGATCACCACATCCTTAAAAATATTTTCTTCCGAAAAGAAATCCACAAAATTCAATTAACTTGGCTAACATGAAATTTCTTTTTCTTAAGAAATATGCATATGATTTGCTTATTCTCAGTGGCATCTTTCCAAAAAGAATTTTACTGAAAGTTCAGTTTCCTAGAGACAAGAGATGAGACGAGCTTCCAGGAAACCTCAGCACAAGGGAAACACAAATCAGTATGGATTGTCTGACCCACGGTAATGCAGGGCAGAAGAACTTTCAGAGAAGAAGAGACTCTCTAAACTGAAGCACAAGTCTCATTATATCCTAGAATCTATACTTATTTAAGAAATTTTAATGTTTCTAAGTAAAGGCAAACTACAAAACACATTAAAGGACTAAGGGAAGAAGGCCTAACTCAAGCCAGAAGCAAGAAAATGCAAATCCAATTTTGCCAAGAGTGTGTGTGTGTAAATGTTTCACAAGAAGCTGTGTGATCTGTATCAAAATGGAACCAACTCATCTTTTTTTTTTTTACCTGCTGTGCTTCAAAGGAGCCCAATTTGCTAGTGAATTTAGGTTTGTGGATTAACACACATTGATATGCTAAAGTAAACTAGTGGTCTCACTCTCTTCTGACTTGGTCTTGCTCTGAACCCTGAGACAAGTACAATAAATGCAGCTATAATCTTTCCTGAAGTATATTCCACGTTACAGGAACATTTAAAGACATATGAGTAGGTGGTACATTTATCCTGCTATCTGAGACATAATGATAAATTGATACAATTCTTCTCACCTCTTCTCATAAATACCTAAAAATTTTTCCTAAATGTCTAAAAATTTGCCTGAAATAAATGTTATTGGTTAGGAGCATTTTTAAGAGCAAGTATTTCTGAGATTGTGTTTTAGAATCATAAGACCAGTGCTAATAATAACAGAAATGTAGCAATAGAAAGCATTACCACTCACTGGCTAAGTGGAAACATGGTAAATTAGGAACTTTAAATTATCTTCCACACAACTTAAACAAAACAGTTCTTTAAGGCTTTTAAAGAAGATGTAATTGATTTAAATATTGAAGTACAGTTTAGAAAACCTACCCTAAGAGCAGCTTAATGTAAAATCCTGAGTACAGAACCAGAGATGTGGCTTAGTCGCTACAGTAGTAGCCTGGCATTCAGGAAGTCCAGCACAACACCTAGCACTGTATGAAGAGGTCAGGGTAGTGCATGCCAGTAATTCCAGTGCTTTGAGTGTGGAAGCAAAACAATCAGAAGTTCAAGGTCATCTTTGACTAGGTAGCAAGTTTCAGGCCAGTCTGGGCTAGAGATCTTGTCTGAAAAAAAAAAATATCAATGAAAAGAAAGAAATATGTTACATTAAAAAATTCAAGAAAGCATTTTCCTTTCTTGCTGAGCTGTAAGATGCAACAATAAATAAAATTCCATAAGAAATTTGTCATTACAAGCCAGTTTCATGACAAGATTCATGGGTATCCATTTGAAACTAATGATGAAGAAGGGATACTGAATGGGCAAATAAGAAAAAAAAAGTTGGATGCAATCAAGGCAAGAACTCAGAACAGTTGGAGTGTGTGCCTTCTGCGGGTGAGGCATCTTTTGTTGTTTTGGAAGGGGAGCATTTATGATTGCAGCAGAAATTAAAGCCTTGCCTGAGAGGATTGGCTCCCAGGAAAGAACCTTGACCTGGAGCATTCCTCAGCAGCACGCAGCAATCAGTCAGACTCAGAACTGGGATTTGGGCTATTTATGTTGCGTAGAAACAAAATGAAGGAGGCACATCTGAAGAGTAATTGCTGAAATTAGCAAAAGGAGAGGAGATTGAAGAGAGGCGATCCTTTGGACAAGTTAGACCGGAGGCAAAAGAACATGGTAGGAGAAAGTGATTGTAGTCTATCAACAAACTGCTCAGTTCCTCAGAAAGTCACTCACAACAGAGTGTAAATTTTTAAGGCAAAACATGGCAGCATTACAAAAAAAATGACATGTTCTTTCTAATATTAGGACATTAAAAATAACCTATACAGTGCCATAAATGTAATTAAAAATGTAAAAATAATGTCAAAATCTTCTGAAAAGATATAATACTAAAAAGACACAAACAACACAGACTTTAATATGAAGACAATCAAGATCCAGATGAAAATGGATAAACTAAAAGTAATAAAAGGACATTAACATGCAAAACGTGCATAAAATTTAGAAGTAAACAATAGGGAGTAGTCTGAGCAAAGCTCATAGGAACTCACAGAGACTGAAGCGGAACGCACGGGGTCTACAGGGTCTGCAGCAGTCCTCTGTGTATAGTACGGCTTTCACACTGGTGTTTTCTATTGATCCCCGAGTGCAAACAGCGAGTCTCTGATCTCATACCTTCTCTTGAGCTCTTTTCCTTCTGTTGGCTCGTCTTGTCTAACTTCAGTGCAACAGTTTTTGTTTTATCTTACTATATTTTGTTTTATTGTATTTTTTAAAAAATGAATGAATTAATGAAAACCTAACTACTGGGTAAAGGGTAACAATGGGACTGTCACTCATACCTTCTGGGAGAGGGAAAATCAGTTTTCCCCGATACAGTGAAAACATACATAACATTGTATAGACTGAGCAGGTTATACTTAGGAATATATAT